TATTAGGAAGCCGGATTTAACAGCACATTAAAAAGATCATACACCATGATCAAGTGGTTCATCCCAGTAATGTAAGGATGGTTGAACATACACAAACAAGTAAGTGTGATACACTACATTAATATGATGAAACACAAAAATCATATGATCATCTCCATAGATGAAAAAAGAGCATTTGACAGAATTCAATATCTATTCATGATAAAAACTCTCAAGAGGAAAACCAAGAAACAGACTCCTAACTATAGAGGACGAACTGATGGTTAATAGAGGGGAAGTTGGAGAGGAATGGGTTAAGTGGGTGATGGGGATTAAGGAGGGCACTCCTTGTGATGAGCACTCGGTATAATATGCAAGTGCTGAATCACTAAATTCTATATCTGAAACTAAATTTACACTGCATGTTAAGTGGAATTAATTAATTAATTTTTAAGATATTAAGAGATACAGAAGGAAAGCCAGAGGGAGAGAGATAAGCAGATTCCTCATAGAGTGCCCAATGTGGGACTCGATCCAGGAACCCAGAATCACAGGCTGAGCCAAAGGCGTCTAGACACTCAACCACTGAACCACCCAGGTGCTCCTGATAACTGAAATTTAAACAAAAATTTGGAAAGAAAAAAACTCAATAAATAAAATACAGAATTATACCCTAACATAATAAAGGACACATATGACAAGTCTACAGTGAATATCTTAATTGTGAAAGGTTGAAAGCTTTTCCTCTAAGATCAAGAACAAGACAAGGGTGCACACACTCTCACCACTCTTATTCAACACAGTACTGGAAATCCCAGCCAAAGCAATCAGGCAAGAAAAAAAAAGCATCAGAATTGGAAAGGAAGAAGTACAAATGTCTCTATTTGCAGATTATATGATTTTATATACAGAAAATATAGACTTCACCAAAAAACAATTAAATCTAATTTAGCAAATTCAGTTAAGTTGCAGGAGACAGAATCAATACCCAAAAATAGTAGCATTACTGTACATTACTAATGAATTATATGAAAAAGAAATTTAAAAATTCCATTTACATTAGCATCAACAACAATAAAATACCTAGGCATAGATTTAACCAAGGAAGTTAAAGACCTACATACTGGAAAATAAAAGACACTGAGGAAAGAGATTGAAGACACAAATGAATGGAAAGATATCCTACATTCATGACTGAAAGAATATTATTAAAATTCCCATATTACCCAAAGCCACCTGTAGATTCGGTTCAATTCCTACCAAAATTCCAAAGGCATTTTTCACAGAAATAGAACAATCAAAATTTTTATGGAACCACAAAAGACCTTGAACAGCCAAAGCAATTGGAAAAAGAACAAAGCTGGAGCCATGATACGCCCTGATTTCAGACTATATTACAATGCCATTGTAATCAAAACAGTATGGTGTGGGCATTAAAAACAGACATACAGATCAATGGAACAGAATAAAGAGCCCAGGTGTATATATGGTCAATAAATTTACAGCAAAGAAGCCAAAAACCAAGAATATACAACAGGGAAAGGGCAGTCTCCTCAATAACCTGGACAGCCACATGCAAAAGAATGAAACTGGATCACTGTGTAATACCATACACAAAATGGATTATTAAAGTCTGAACGTAAAATTTAAAATAATAAAACTCCTAGAAGAAAACATAAGAGTTTCTTGACATCCGTGTTGGTGATGATTTTTTTGGATTTGACACCAAAAGCAAAGGCAACAAAATAAACAAGTGGGACTATATCAAACTAAAAAGCTTCTGCACAGGAAAGCATCAACAAAATGAATGGCAACCTACTTAAAGGGAGAAAATATCTGCAAAACGTGTTTGAGTGAGTGGTTAATATCAAATATACATCAAGAATTCATACATTTCAATAGCAAATAAATAACCCAATTAGAATTCAGAAAGAGATGTAAACAGACATTTTTCCAAAGAAGACATATACACCAAGAGGTACATGATAAAGTATATAAAAGTTACAGCATAGGGCATACAGTCAATGGTATCGTAATAGGATTGTATGGTGACAGCTGTACTTGCGGTGAGCACAGCATACAGAGTTGTGGAAAATAAAGGCACAAGACCTTTAAAATAAGTTATAGTGAAAAAAATTAATAAAAAAAATCAAGGACAGTTTCTTCAATAAATGGTGCTGGGAAAACTGGACAGCCACATGTAGAAGAATGAAACTAGACCATTTTTTTTATACAAAGATAAACTCAAAATGAATGAAAAGCCTAAAAAATGGACAGACGACCTGACCATTTTTCCAAAGACATTCAGGCCAACAGGTACAGGAAAAGGTGCTCAGTATCACTAATCATCAGGCAAACGCAAATCAAAACTCACAATGAGTTATCACCTGACACCTGTTAGAATGGCTGTTATCAAAAAGCCAAGAAATAACAAATGTTGGTGAGGATGTGGAAAAAAGGGTACCTTTGAGCACTGTTGGTGGGAATGCAAAATGGTACAGCCACTGTGGAAAACAGTATGGAGGTTCCTTAAAAAATATAAAATGGAACTACCATGTGACCCTACCAATTCCACTTTGGGATATCCAAAAGAAATAAAAACAGTAACTCAAGAAGACATATGCACCCCCATCTTTAGTGCAGCATTATTTATAATAGCCAAGATATGGAAACAACCTAAATGTCTGTCAATGGATTAATAAAGAAAAATATGGTATAAATACACAATGGAATATTATTCAGCCATAAAAAAGAATGAGATCTTGCTATGTGCAACAGCATGGATGGACCCTGAGAGTATTATGCTAAGTGACATAAATCAAAGAAAGATAAGATATCATATGATCTCACTTATAGGAAATCTTAAAAAAAAAAAAAACCCTAAACTCACAGATACAGAAAACAGATTGGTGGTTTCTAGGGGCAAGGAGTGAGGGGTAGGTAAAATGGGTGAAGATTGAAAAAAAGGTATAAACTTCCGGTTAGAAAGTAAGTCCTGAGCATGTAATATACAGCATAGTGGCGTAATAATATTATATATTTGAAAGTTGCTGAAGCTCTAGAGATCTTAAAAGTTATCACAAGAAAAAAAAATTTGTAACAATGAATGGTGATGGATGTTAACTAAAATGGTGATCATTTTGCAATATATACAATACCAAATCATTATGTTGTACACCTGAAACTAATAAATTATATCTCAATAAAAAGTTTTCCAAAATTGGGAAATTCTAAATATAAGAAATGAAACATTTTTGTATTTCAAGTGCTTTGTAGTAACTTAGAACTGATGCATAAAGACTGCATATAAGCTGACAAGAAAAATCACTAAAAATCCCACAAGATAATGGGCAAAGAAGAAAACTAAAAAGAAAATAAACTATTTTTAACACTTAATGATTAAATTAAAACAAAACAAATTCTATCTATAAAATTAATAAAAATTATTCAAAATAAGAATAATTAATGCTGTCAATGACAGGTTAAACTAGAAACTCTCGGGGCACTTGGGTGGCTCAGCTGATTGAGCATCCAACTCTTGATCTCGGCTCAGGTCATAATATCAGGGTGGTTAAAACTGAGCCCCAAGTTGGCTCCATGCTGGGAAACTGCTTAAGATTCTCTCCCTTTCCTTCTTCCTCTGCCCCTTCCCCCCAGCTCAGGCAAATACATGCACATTTGTGCTCTCTTTCTCTATAAAACAAAAACAAAAACAAAGAAACTCTCATATACCTCTGTTGTGAATGAAAATCACTATAATCTTTTGAGAAAGTACTTCAGCAATAGGCATAATGAATATTACAAATGTTTATTCTTTTTGGCTCTATAATGCTACTTGTGAGAATCTATTCTAAGACCTAAGTCAGAATACAAACTCTTATTCTCTGCACTCTCATTTCATAAAAACAAGAAAATTAGAAACATTCATAACGCACAATACAAAGTGGTTAAGTATTTTACAGCATCTTCATATATGAAATATTTTGGAACTATTTTAAATGATGTTCAGTTTTTACCAATTTTTTCAAAATGTTTATAATTATTTTAAGTGAAGAGGAAAAATAAAATTATATATATGTATGGTATGAGTGCAATAATATAAAAAAATAAGTGTAGAAAAAAAGGCTGGGAAATATACCATCAAGTGATTGTCACTCAAGAATAAGACTAAGGTGATTTTTATATTTTTCAAGTCTTTATATTTAAAATAACAAACCAGGGGTGCCTAGATGGCTCAGCTGGTTAACTGTCCAACTCTTGATTTTGGCTCAGGTCATGACCTCAGGGTCACAAGACTGAGTCCCACCTCTGGCTCCATGCTGTACGGAGCCTACTTAAGATTCTCTCTTTCTCTGACCCTCTCTCCCTCCCCTCCTCTCTTTCTTCTCTCCCCTCCTCCCTTGAAAAAAAAAAGAAAACACACTTTACTTCTATAAAAGTAAAACTCAACTATATTCCATTTTTTTAAAAGTCTTGTATTCAAACATACCTCTTTCTCCCCCAAATACCAAATAATGAGTAAGATTTGCAACCACCACACCAAAGAAACTGGAATTGCGTGAGCAATCCAGTATGAAGAGTGTGGCCATGAAAGGATGCCAAGGACACCCATTTCTGTGTTCAGAGCCCTAGGAAGCTCCCTAGGTACAGAAGGAAGAGGGGGAGGCTAAAGGTGAGGCAGAGACAGGAGGGTTCATGGACAGAGAACACAAAGACCAACTAGTATAAGGCATCAGTAGCCCAGACAAAAAGACTGAGGAACAAGGTTTCAGGGAGTCATCTGAATAGCTTCCCACTGAGCCAGATTTGGACTAAATGTGGAAGGTAAGTGTAATAGGTGAGGGTGCTGAGCATCCTTCCTCCACCCCAGAGTTAGGCCTCTCATCCACCCACTGTGGAAAAGACCAATTTTGTGACCCTTCCTCTTATGCCACCAGATCTTTTCAGCCTGAGGTACAATTCAGGTGGCCAGCAAACCAAAGAGCCCCTATACAAATGAAAATACAAAAAGTGAAACTCACCAGTCAAAGCCAAAGTATTCATTTGAAGTTTCTATCCACAGGAACAGCAAAATCACAGACAAGAAAAATGAAATAATCACAAATGGGTAAAATAATCGCTCTCTCTGGGAAGAGAAAAAAGTATAAATCAGCTCCATTTATACATGTCACTTCAGCAATATCTGTATAAACTTGTCAAATTCTGTATAGTTGCAATGCCGTGCATTATCCTCTGGAGACTGGAGTGACCACTGTATTCTCCTTACCCCTATGGAATTTTGTATAAGCCTATTTATAACATTTATTACATTTAATTGCAATTACATATTTATCTTTTTGTATTTGGTGAGAAAGTTTCTTCTCTAAGAAACTGTTACACACCTCCATCCTGGCAATATCCAGCAGAGTTCCTTAAATGGAGCTAGCTCTTAACAACCCTCTGTTCCATTAATCCACCTCGTCATCTACCAAATGTTTGTTCGCTGACTCAATCTTTGAGTAATTCATCCAGTCATCACTCATCAGTTCATTTCGTCACTTACCTACCCAAATTTGGGGGATGGAGGACAGGTTAAGGAATAAAGCTTTTTTTTGAGTAGCTACCTTGTGCCAGTACAATGCTAGACATTGCAAAAACTACTTTCATTTGCTTCATTTTTCAATATGGCCATATAAATTAGGTATTGTTATCCTTAACTTTGCAGAAGAACTAAAGCTCAGAGAAGTGAAATAACTGACTCAAAGATACACAGCCAAGAAGTAGCAGGGACACTGCCCAGATCTCTGAGCCTAAAGCCAGGATGGAGTACATCTTTATGGAGATGTTCAAACAGCCTTGAAGGCAACCTCCTTCACTGAAAGTCACATCACAAGCCAGTCATGCTAGAGGTTGCCAAATCCTTCCCGGGAACATTAGGTTTGCGTTGCTACCTGAGTTATAATCTTAACACTTCTGTATCACCTAAATAAGAATTCTGCCTCTTTAGGGCAGCCTGGGTGGCTCAGCGGTTTAACAACGCCTTCAGCCCAGGGTGTGATCCTGGAGACCCGGGATCGAGTCCCACGTCAGGCTCCCTGCGTGGAGCCTGCTTCTCCCTCTCCCTGTGTCTCTGCCTCCCCCCCCCCCCATGAATAAATAAATAAAATCTTAAAAAAAAAAAGAATTCTGCCTCTTCAGAACACTGCATTTAATCTGTTACCACTGGACAGATAATCCTTGCCCTGTCTAAACTATGGCATTACTGTGAAAAATAAAAATAAAGAAATAAAATGGAAAATGTAGGAACTGTATTCCAAAAAGATGAGAGACATTACAACTATCAAGGTGCAGTTTCTGGGTGTAGGAGGATGAAGAGCACAAAATCTTTGATTCAGATTTTACACTCTTACTCTCTATTCTAAATCTCATGTGGACTTTAGAAACATGTATCAGATAATGTCATTCCCCTGCTCAAAACCCTGCCAGAGCTTCCTGTTGTATTAACATACCATCAAACTGCCTGCCATGGCCCATAAGGTCCTCAATGATCAATCCTTGTCCATCCCTGACCTCATCTTATTCTACACATTCCATTTCTGAACTCCAGACTGGCCTTCTTTCTCTTTCTATAATATGACCAAATTCATTTCTACTTCAAAACTTTTGAACTTTCTGGTTCCTCTGCCTGGAATACTTTTGCCCCCAGCTGCACACATGGCTGACTCTACATCTCCATTTAGGAGACAGTTCACATGACGCTTTTCCAAAGAGATCTTCTCCAACCACTCTCCCACCCCAGGTTCTAACACAGTTTCTTATTTAATATCTTCAAAGCTCCTATCACTATCTGAAATAATCTCTCTTCATTTATGGTCTATTAACTAACTCATCCCACTAGATTTGTAAGCTGCAGGAAGGCTGAGGCCTTAGTTGTCTTATTCACTGTGGAACAGAAGTGTTCCACTAACTTGTTTTTGTTGAATAGATCCATTTCCTTGTTTTGATTCTCACTGTTGCCCCTCTTCTTCAATCATTTTCAAAGGCTCCCCGCTATTTACAAGGGAAAGTTCAAATACTTTAGCTTGACACAAAGATGCTTCATAATTTGATCAAAATATTACTTTACAACCCTATTGCTTACCATTGCTTTACATGTCCTTAATTCAACATTGGAAATTTATTTTTCCCTAAACACACCACTGTTTCTCTATTCCTCGACCTCTGATCACCTCATTCCCTCTACCCACAATCCCTTGTACCAATATTTCTGTATGTGAAAGATCACTTCCAAGAGTCAGTGACTCCAAGAGTAACAAAATAGCTAATATCTATTAAGGGCTAATTGTGTGCCAAGCCCAATTCTAAGTGTTTTCCATATATTACTTCTTCCATTCCCACAACAAATCCTATTGGTAGGTACTATTATAACCATCTCCATTTTTCTTCCTTTTTTTTTTTTTTAAGATTTTATCTATTCATGAGAGACACAAAGAGAGGCAGAGACACAGGCAGAGGGAGATGCAGGCTCCCTGCTGGGAATCCAAAGCGAGACTCAATCCCAGGACTCCAGGATCATGCCCTGAGCTGAAGGCAGAAGCTCAACCACTGAGCCACCCAGGCATATCTACCATCTCCATTATTCTAATGAGGCATCTAAAGCACTAGCTGTCAAGTAACCTGCGCAAGTGGTAAAACTCTAATTTGGAGATAGTCCGTGGTAAAGCCATAAACTGAATCCATGCAGTCTTTCCTCAAAACACAAGATTTTATTTCTTATGCTACATGCTTTGCTCCTTCCCCTGAGCAAAAATAGGGCCTTGGGAATTATCTAGGGACCTTAGGAATTACCTCGTTCAATTCTCTAACTATAGAGAGGCTCAGAGATCTCACATCATCAACCAAAGGCAGAGTGGGAATTAGTACTCAAACATTCTCCCAGGCTCTAGTCCAAGGATTTTTCCATTACACTACACTGCCTCAAATGTCACCCTGCCCATGAAGCCTCCCTTTTCTTTCTTATTACATAGTAACTCTCATGTAACTTACTTCCTCAATCCTAAATAATAAGTTTCTGTTGAATCAGTTCACTCTTCCTATTTACCATCACTATCTAATCTAGACCACCAACATCTCTTACCTTAATTAAATACTGCTATCATTTTCTCTTTGAAGGCAAAGACATCTCCTTCCTTGTTTGTACCTTCCAATCCATCCCCCACATGATCAAACAATCATTCCAAAACATAGATCAGGAACATCAGTTTAAAATCTTTAGGGACTCTCTATCGTCTACATGGTAGAAGTCAAATTCTTAAAACCACACAACATTGGTCCCATTTCCCTCTCTGGCTTCACTTCCCATCACTTCTCCATTTGTAACTTCCTTTCCACCTAAAATAAACCTTATACCAATGCCCCTTGACTCCTCCAATACTATTTCTTCTGCCATCCCCTAATGCTTAGCTACCCAGTTCTTAATCACCTCTTGCCTTCTATATGAAGTTGTTTTCAGCATCTCCCTTGGCACATGGAAGCATGTATGTATATATACACATACACACACATAAATACTCTTAGTATTTAAGATTGCATCATGCTGGTCTCTTCCTCCAATAGACTATGAATTGCTTGAGAGCAGGAACCATATCTAAGGCAGTTCTGTCATTCCTAGACATTAGTATATAAACTAATCCATATAAACTATAAACTAAGACTGTCTAGGAAGGTAAGATATAGGAAAGAGTAGAACACGTCTCCTAATCTAGGCAAGCTTCCCATTACTACCCCTTTGCTTGTGCTCCCCACTTTACATATAAGAAACTAGTGATCTAAATGGTCAGAATCTCAGACTTTGGCTGGACTGCGTTTACAAGTACATGAAGGTACATGATGTGGCCCTCCTCTTATCACTTCAGTGTGCTCATCACTTGGTCTCTTATACCAAATAGTCCACCAGAGGATCCCAACATATGGTTTAGAATTTAAAATAAGAGGCCTTCAATAAGATTAGGTCACATGCCACAACTCAGCCTTATTAAAGTTTTTCATTAGGGAAAATAGGCATTGGCCTGACCAATAATAAAGGAATACCTTGTTTCCTACTTGCTATTATTTTTCTCATAAACATAACTCCTTTGGGAAACTCACAATGAAGAGAGAATTTAAGATTCAAGCACTCCTGTAATTCCTAGTCAAAAACATCTAACTACACCTGAACTTTTTCTTCAAAATTTACTAAATGAATAAAAGCAAAAGTAAATCAATGAGTAAATAAATGACATAAAAGATTTAGTAAGAAAAAGGAGAAGAATAAAAGTGAAAGAAAATGAAGAAAACAAGCATGTGTTTCTGTAAGGTTAATTTTGGCTCCAGACTTGTAGCAGGCTTTTCATCAGAGAACTAGAGCTCTACTATGCCCAGGCCTGGGGACTCTAATGATCCCTCATAGGGCCAGGAACCAGCCCATGTTCCCCACATTTGAGAAAGTATGGTCCAACTCCTTCCCATCTCTCTGTACCCAAGAGCAGCAGCAGGGTCCAGGTCTAGACATTTTCTCCTGTTTGACTTGCCACTCGCAGGTATAGCAACCAGTAATCAAGGTGATGTAGCATTGTTGGTTGCAGGTGCACAGGACACATGGATTATGCTTTTTCAGACTTCTATTCTTCTGGCTGCTCCCAGGCTCAACCCTGTTGGCCTTAAGCATGGTTCACCCTCTTGCTGAAATGACAAATAAAATGATTAGGATCTAATAGCTCCTTCAAATGTTTCCTACCTCACTGTCGTACAGAAAATTCCATCAAAAATTGATAGATTTTAAAAGTTTATAATCTAGGATAATGCACTGGATTCAGGGCAGATGAGTAGAGCTTCACCCTACCTTTTCCACTAACTTGTTGAGTACTTAGTGCAGTCATGAGCTATCTAAGGTTTAGTTTTTTTTTCACCTCTAAAGTGGGACCATATTCTCTGTCCTAGACAATAAATGCTGAAAGCATCTTATTAGATAACATATACACATGTGTTTTTTCAATATTTGTAATATGCTCCTGAAATAACTTGAGAACCTAAGAGGCATGGGTGAGGTATGTGAAAAATACAACCACCGACTAATAAGTGACTCAGATACACAGCTGCCTGCCTGCCCCTTCCCTTTTGCTCTTTTCCCATGTGGAATTAGTTAGCATTAGCCTCAATTTAAATGATGGAATATTCAAAATAACAATGGCCAAAATATGACAAGTTTGTTTTTTCTTTTGCCAACAAAAATATTTCAGAAATTATGCGGTATATGGCTTCACAATGTCCTTAAGAACCCTGATATCTTCCATCTTGCTGTTCCACTGCAACACAGGGGTTCCTCATCAGCATCCAAAAATGGATGCTCAAGTTACATGCTACCATGCTAATTCCAACTAGGAGAAAGGGAGAAGAACAAATGATGTTCTCCCTTATTTTAAGGACACTGACAAAAGTTGAACATGCATTTCACTGACAGAGGTTTTCTTACTAGAAAAAAGAAAGAAAAGAAAAAAGAAAAGAAAAGGATATTGAGGGATATCTAGCTGTTACTACTGAATTTTCTCACCCTACTGTAATAGGATACTCTCAGAGAATGTGTGGAATGAATGGCCAAAAAAAAAAAAAAAAAAAAAAAAACACCCTGAAAACTATTTAAGAATAAACAAACAAGAAGTCTTAAAGGGCCTGATCCCAGGCAATCGTCTCTGCCCCTGAAAACTTTGTTGTGCTCCACTTAGTTTTTCTGTGAAAAGCAGTGTTGTAGTTAAGTGTGTTGTAGTTCACAGTGCATAGTCTAAATGTACACCTCTGGCAAAAATGGGAATAAGAGGGACTGGAGTAACCTTCCCAACTTAAGTGACTAAAAACATGGGGAAAATATGAAAGAACAGTTTTCACACAGTGGACAACAGGCAGTGAACGATAGCCATTCTTGAGAGAGAAGAAACAAAGGAAGTGAGTATTGTAAATGCAATCTGGATAGTTTCCAGGATGAAGCACCGGGAAAAAGAATGTAGGTGAATCCTGGCAGTATCCCTGAACTGAGCAGACAGAAATGGGAGTTTGGGGAAGGAAAAGCACCAACCCCTATGTCTTCCCGAGTCGCCAACTGAATACAAACCAGTACATGGGTGTGAAGAAAGTATCTGACACTAGAGAAAGAACCACACAAAACAAGGTGCTTAGACAAAAGAGCTCACAAAAGGCTGGGAATTGTTGGTGTTTTCTCTAGAGCAGAAAAGCCTTATAATACATGAGGCACTAGGAAACATACTCAGAAGGGTATTGCCTCAATAGTAGAAAAAAGGGTGAAAAAAAAATTAGGCCTACATTAAAGGCTACTAGGATTATGGCGGGCCCAAAGTTTAAAAAGTAGATTCAAAATTGTCAAAATGTTTCCAAGTAACTTGGCTCTCTTCTGAAACAAAGATCAGAATTTAAAAAAAAAAAAAAAGGGGGGGAGGATCCCTGGGTGGCGCAGCGGTTTAGTGCCTGCCTTTGGCCC